TGTGTGTGTGTGTTCTCTAATAATTTTTATTACCGGCGTGTTTAGAAACTTTGGTATGCAGACGTGATGAATACTGCTCATATGTGTTTTTGTTGTGCGCATGAATTGTCGTGTAAACATGTTAGACTTCAAACATGAAAATTTGAAAATGTTTAGCTGAATATTGTTAAGGATAAGTTGTGATAAAGTGGACCAAATAAATATGACTTTAAGTTGGAACATTTGTTTCATGTTGTATTTTCTTCTAGGAGTATGGTTTTCATTATTGAGGAAGAAAATTGACAGAGGAACCAGATGTGATCAGAACTCCTAATACTAAGGAGATTTCAATCAAGATAAGAGATTCAATCTATTTTCGTTTAGACAAAACACCAATTTTATTAACTGATATTACGTGTTGCTAAAACTAGAAGAGTCATTGTTGACAATTCTCCTGGCATAGTGCTAATAGTGGACTAGATCAAAATGGCTCAATTAAATTCTAGTGCTTCTTCTATTAGTGAAGTTTCTAGAAAAAAAAATATATCAAACTACGCAATGCACCTTGGGTCGCTACGGAAACAGCCTCCTTGTATAATTACAAGGGTAAGTTCTGCGTACAACTGACCCCCAGACCCCAACCAGTTGGGAATATACTGGGTATGTTGTTGTTGTTGTTGTAAAACTAGAAGCAGACCGAAATAAAGGACGAAGATTAGAGTAACTTTTCAGTGTGATGTAGAGCTTCACCTTTCTTTTTTTTCTTTTTTTTTTTCTTTTCTATTTCTAAAACTTTCTTCTTTTAAATCTGGTATAAGGTACAAGTATGTTAAGTTCCGTCTGATATTCATGTGACTGTTATGCGGCACTATCCAAGCATGTAGTATGAAAATATGAGGAATTGGTTTCTAGAAATTATAGTAGTAGACTCATATGCCTGGGGCTTGGGACCCACAGTCCTGGATAACTCAACCAAGGAAAAGGTCATATGTGAGTGGGCTGTACTAATGTATCTTTGAGTGGCCCCTACCGAATAGTAAAACGTGGATACTGTGACGCTTATAGTTCCATACCAGAGAGGTAAGTGAAATAAAAACTGTCAATAGAATTATTGGGAAGAGTGAATGATGTCAATGAAGCCTTATTGACAACAACTATAATAAATCAGAAAAGAGAAACTAGCTGAGGGTGTTAAGTGGTGTTGGAGTAGCTGTTGCATCAATTAGTTTAGGTTTGAGTTGAAGGTTAATCCCTTGCACTGAACTTGACTGGTAGGCAAGAGATGTTCATAAGCTGAACAAAAATAGATTAAATCTGTTTTTTTTTTAATGAGCTAATTTAGCGCGAGGGAAGAACTATAGTGCATAATGTGAAGCATAACAAAACATGCATTCATCCTAGTTATTTATTGATGAGGTACTGGAATATGATTTAGTTCCATCATAAATTATAGTTTCCACTCTGTGAAAGCAGAATGTAGCTTCGTTTGCATTTTACCGTTTTGTCTTTTTAAATAAGTACTGAATAATACCTCTAATATATATATATTTTGTTTTTTCATTTAGCGCACTCTGTGATAAAGTCGGATGACCCAGAATGGTTCTTCTTCTGCCCTCGTGATAAAAAATACCCAAATGGTCATCGCTCTAATCGAGCCACAGAAGCAGGTTATTGGAAAGCCACAGGCAAGGATCGTGCTATAAAGTCTCGGAAGGGTCACTCTGATGCCTACTTAGTTGGCATGAAGAAGACACTAGTTTTTCACAGGGGTCGTGCTCCCAAGGGTGAACGTACAAACTGGATAATGCACGAATACCGTGCTACGGAACCGGATCTTGATGGCACTGGTCCTGGACAGGTTAATAGTTATTTTCTTCTCCCCCCTCTTTCACTCTCCTATATGCATGCACGAGGACATGAACAGCCTGAGTTATTGACGAACATAATGCTTAATTATTATCTTGGACATATTACATCCCTTTCCCCTTTTTATATACTCTTTGAAAGTTTGAGAAACAGCTTCAAACTCACTGAGATTGGTGTTAATTTAACCATTAAACAGTCGCCCAATCACTGTCTCCACTTACAGTGCATTCAAGGATTGATCAAAGTTGAATATATAGATTCCCAAAATAATCTCTATGATTATTATTTGGAAAACTATACTGCTCTACCAGTAGTTTCATTTTTCGGAAATTCTTTTCAGGTGGTAGAATATTATCAAACTTTCTGAAATGATTAAATTCCAAAAATGTTCTCCATATTTGAAAATGCTTTTGGATAACATACTTTTATAAACTTAATAATGAATAAATGCTTTCATTACTGTCTTAATAATGAGGTTAAATGTATAATGATAGTTTCTAATGTACTCTATTTACGAATAGCTTCCCTTGGTAATATTTAAAAAGCATTATCTTGAGACAAAAACTAGTTCTTGTATTACTTGTTTAGTAGGTGACAACTGGGGTTCTGTAGGTGCAGGGTCCTACATTAATGAATATCATGTGTGTCTATAAGAAGTACTACAAGCATTCAAAATCATGAGATAAGCATCGTCAACATCTAAATAATGATTTATATTAACAATATGAATGCTGGGACAGAAAGGATACCAGTGGCTGTGTCCCTTGATTCTCATAGGAACTCAATGTAGTTGTGAATCATGGTTTACCAATAGTGTCTGTGTTTTCCTCATATTCCAGGTAGACTATGTCCTATGCCGCTTGTTCCACAAAGCAGACGAGGAAGTACACAATTCAAAATGTGGTGAAGTTGATTGTAATAGATCATTTCCTTCGACAGACAAATTGTCCCCCGACGATGTCTCATCAGGTCTGTGCCGAGAACCTGCGATGCTTGATATAATCAGTGGCCCACATGACTCCAAGAAATGGTTGACTTATGATGCTGACTGTATGACTTCTACTAACCCAGTCCCGGTTGAAAGCTGTGCATCTGATGGAGTTGATCACTCAGGAGAAGAAACAGCTGTGGAGGTAAGAAATATTGTTGGAAATGACATTTTCGTGTATATATATTTTCGGATACCAGGGTATTTAAATCTAGAGTACATCTTTTTCCCATTTTTGGGCGATATATATATATATATATGTCAGGTGTATGCCCCAGTAAGACAAGCCTCAACGTCTGAAGATGCTGCATACAACCCATTCGAAGACAAGGCCTCAGGCCCTGTCTTCTCAAACAATTTCTCTGAGTTAGGAGCTTGTGTTTCCCCTTTTGCTGATGACTTTGGCAGCGAACAAAATGGATTGAATTTTCAAGACGGTACATCGGAACAGGATGCATCCCTGTCAGAGCTTTTGGAAGGTCTTCAAAACCATGGGAACTGCTTTGGCGAAGCATCAACTGGCTCCATTTCGAAATTGTTTACTAGAGAGAGCTCTAATACTGGAGAAGTTGATGGCCTAAAGCAACTACAAGTGCCATCTACAAATGATTTTAAATTCCAAGGGAAGACGGATAGAAAAATCGTTCCAACTCAGGTAATGAGCTCGTGACCTAATGTTTGTGCTTATATCATTTTTGTCTTCAATTGTGCCATTACTTGGATCTAGCTCAACTATCTTGGGGATTGAAACATGGATCCATCTGTATGAAAAATAACATTTATGTTAAATTTTCTCTTTAAAAAAATAATTACTGCTAGTTTCGAAATTTAGTGTCTTAGGCTCATGAATAATATTGAATGACACCATATAGGGTCAGCGACCTCCAAGTCTTTTACCCATTGCACCCTCTGCTGATCAGTCCCAGACCCATTATGCTGTTGAAGAAGCTGGTTCATCTGTCCATACAGCTAGGGGTTCAGGATATGAACCAGTTGAGACATTATATCATAATAATCCTATCAGAGACAACAGCACAGATGTTAGTAATTCGGGAATCAAGATTCAATCTCGTGAGCCACGAAAGAAGCCGAGTTATACAGCTCAAGGAACTGCACCAAGGAGAATCCGTTTGTGGATTGGCTGTAGGAAGAAATCTGTATGTGGTGAATCATCTATTGACAACAAACATGAAGCACAATCACCTATTAGACAGGTTTGTCTCCTTTATTTGTTTAAATATGCATGTGAAATGTAGATATTTTTTAACTCAGACATTGAGCACGAGATAATGAATAAGTAACAAAATTTGCTCCTCAAATCCTTATTTTGTTAGAACTAGTAAGTTATACATGCTACGCACGTGGACATTAAGATTTATTTAGGAATAATTATTAGTTTAATTTGATTAAAGATATTGTTTATTTACTCATTAAGAATCAAGTGAAACACACTAAGTATGCTATCTACACAAATGCATATCTATATCTATATAAAAAGATTCGACATTTACTTGAAAAAGTATTGTATTAATTTTCACTGCACACTTTTAGTTACTAATACAAGAAACTCGGAGAATTTTTTATTTTTTTTTCTCTTTCCTTTTTAGCATTGTATATATTCTCGGAAATAATATGTACTTTTTGTTTTTTTTTTTTTTTTTTTTTTTTTTTTTTTTTTTCCTTTTTAGCATTGTATGTTTTTTTGGAAATAATCTTGCTTTAAAATCATAAGATTTTTTTTTTATTTATTATTATAATAATTATTGGAATACTCAAAATAAATTATAAATAATTATTTGACAATATATAAAATAATAATTAAAATAATTTGTTATGTATAAATGTATAAAATGAGAATATAATTTATTTTTAAAGCACTTAAGTAGTTATAACACCATCCGCGTATCGTTTATTATATTTAATAACTTATAAATAACATACTACAAAAATGCTAATTGATATGCAAAACATGCTGGTATGGTGTCATCGTGTCAATTGCATAATCAATCAATTAAATTTGAAATTTAAAAAACTATTATGTTTATTGTGACAATGAGTTAGGGGAATCTTCAAAATGATTTCAACAGGATTAAAAGTTTGCATCCTTGAAAAATAAGGTCTTTGTCCCACTCATTTCCTCCCTGAATCAAAAGATCACTAACCCAATGAAGCCTATTTTTATCCGACCAAGGGGAATCCCAAACTTGGATTGGCCTTCCATCCCCTACCTGGCACATAGCCCCCAGTTTCAAAAACTCTCTAGCTCCTAGTCAGCTCCTCCAAATCCAAGAATCCCCATTCTTGGGAATGACATCTAGCAATTTCTCCCTAAAGTATCTCCCTTTCATTACCTTGCTATATAGGAAATTTGGTTGGGTGATAAATATCCATAGCTGCTTTACAAGTAAGGCATCATTGAAGGCTATCGGGTTTCTAAAACCTAGCCCCTCTCTTTAGGTTTTGCTAAATGGTCCAAGTTGGACCAGTGGATTCTATCCCCTCCTGATTCAATTTTTCCCCACCAAAAACTAGCTACTTCCATACAAATAGACACTGGTACTTTAAAACTTTAGAACAGGACATTACATACGTAGGGAGAGAGCTTTTTGTACTTTACAGCACTGGTTACTTTACAGCAATATTCATCCTTCTATTTTAAGATAGTAGTAGTTTATGCAATGCATGTAATCTTGAATGGAAAATTTAACATACTTCTCCTGATCCCCTTGTTCCTTCTGTTCTGCAGGTCCATAAAGATGCTGATAGAACTTCCAAGTTTGTGGAGTCTGATAATGAAATTCCTAATGAGAATCAGGAGAGTGCTAAAAACGGCAATTCAAGATTGGCTGTGAAAATTTCAAGGAGCTGTGGGAAAATGGGATCATATATGTTAGCAGCAATTTCTGTTCGCCAAGGTTCAAATTATTTAAAAGGATATGCTGTCAGCATATATGTAGTTATGATCCTGTCGGTAGTTTTTCTAGGGAAATGGGTATGTCCCAGGTCCCAATCTGCATCCTCTTCATAACAGACCTGTAAGTTATGCTCTCCAGAATTGATCATGTAACTATTATGTTAGCTTTATCAGGTGGTAGCAAATCCGCTTTCTTCTTGGGATAGTTTTTATTCATGTACGACAAACTTTATCCAAAAGTTACTGTGGCATAATGTGAGAACGCGACATTCAAGTTCTCTTTAATGATAAATGGGAAGCAGTTTATTTGACTGTCACATTAAAACTAATGATAAGTGCTGTCTACTAGGAATCGTGCAGAGTGCTCTCTGAGATGAAGGAGTATAAGATCTAGTGTACGGTAGTCTTTTTTCCTATCCAGGTGTGCATTCATTTTTCTTCTGCTTGAAAAAAAAAAAAAAAAAGAAATAAAATTAGTTGACTGTTTTTCCTTATGTTGGTATTTGAAAAACATGGTTGTGGCATTGAGTGTTGCAAAATTTGCATGAACTTGAGGATAATCTGCAACTGTTGAATGAATTCGGTTCTCAATGTTTTGACATAATGTAGCATTTAGTTAATTTTGGACAAGAAGCAAGAGTACGAGGCTCGTTTCTTTAGCTTTGCAAGGCAATGAAACGAAGTATGTACAAGCAAGACAAAGAGGTAGTGACAAAAGCAACAAGGTTGCAGTAGCGTGTTGAAAATCTAGAGGTTTGATTTGTGACCCTGTGCAGTATTTACAAGTATATTGGCTGGCTTGTTTGATGGCAAAAATTTAGCAATATTGAGGTGATTCGTGCAGTGTCAGACAGATTCTGGTGTAATGGTGACAATCTAGAGACGATTCATGCAGTGATTTTGAGATGATTCATGTAGTGACTGGCAGATTCTAGTCTACACGTTCGGGAAGGGTTTGAGTCGAGTGCTGGTCAGGTCAGCTTGGGTACTAGCACGGAGCAATTCCCCAGGATGTTGATTGGGACTGTCTTTACATACTTGTCGAGCCATTTTGAGGGCTAAAGTATATTTCTCATCAACATCAACGGAGTAGTAGTAGCGAAGCAATCTTAGAAAAAAAAATAAAATGCGTAAGTTTGTGGGTTACGTACGTACGGTAGATTAATATTTCACTCTACCAGTATCAGTGTGGGTAATGGCCACACGCATGGTTCGGAGCCGTTGGATGAATAAATACTTACTTGAATTGCATGGTTGTACATGAATGTGGGTGCAGTAAGTGTATATATGAAGTAGAATATTGGACAAGTCCAGACATTAGTTATGTAAAATGGAAGTATGGGATGGGGTATGGTGGGTAGGTGCACTAAGTCATTAAGGAAGATGAGAGAAAAGAAGAGCATTAGGGTAGTGAAATAACGTGCACATATTTAAAGACACAAAGAATATGCAACAATTCACCAACAGCACTAGACAAGACATCTCTTGTGGAGTGGACATCTCTGTAACTAACACACGCACACAAACACGCACACTGCAAGTAAAATTATTAAAAATAATGAATGTGACTGTATGATTATGAACAGACTAGTGTAGTAGCTAGCTAGGTTGATATGAGGTTTTATCACTTTCCTAAAACCGTGTGGGACTGTTCCTTCCTTGCCATTCCGAGTACATACCTCATCTAATGTTCACTCATAGACGTGACCCGCCGGTTTGGGCCACAACCAGATCTGGACCGGCCCGTGGTCAACGGGCCTTGAACCGAGCCTGTGGTTTGACCGGGTCTGCTCCGGGCTACATATATATACTTTTTGAACCATCGGGCTGTTTCAGAAGCGGAATTGAAACCAGAACCGACGGTTCGGTCCATTTCTTTTTTTTTTGATTTATTTTATTTATTTTTTAGTGAACCGGCCCGGCCCAGAATTGCCAGTTTACCGAACCGGTCCATGCATATATGTTCGGGCTGATTCAGGGCCGGCCAACCCTTGGCCTGGAATCGTTTCTTGGCCACCTCTACTGATGCAGAATAAATATCAGTATTATTATTATTATTATTATTTAATAATTATTAGTAGCTTAGAGAATAAGCTAGGTTTAGTTTGTGGGGTTTATTTAAATAATTCTTATGCTGTGTGAGGAGGGGAGTGAAATTTGAGAATGAAAAATTAATTGTGTTCTTTCGGGAGAGTATCCCAAGTTCGAGAGAGTATCTCATTCTTTGAGTATCGAGAGAGTATCTCGCATATCTCGTCCCACTCGTACGCTTCCCTACATCAGTTGGTATTCAGAGACCGGGTACGTTCCACGATGCCGCCAAAGAGAGGAAACGCCAACGATCCTACCATCGACGACAGATTGCAACAGATGGACGATCGGATTCATGGTATGGATGATCGATTTAACGAACTTTCTACGGGGATTGAGGAATTACGGGTTGTTATGAGTTCCATGATGTACGAGGTACGTACGAACCGCGAAGGGGCTGACCGGGGCCATCGCGGAGGGATGCGCGGAGGTCGTGGGGGTCGAGGTTATGGCGGGACGCCCCGCCGACGATCACCACCGCCACCACTAACCGGTGATGTTTTTGACGAAATATCGGGGGAACAAAATCAGGACCACGACTTACGGTGGAGTGATGTTTTCGACAAACCTCCACGCAGGGCCGATGGCGGCGAGCGCACGGGCGAGGAAACCCTAGGAGCGGTCCGATTTCGCGGCCGACAAAGGCCTGGGGAGGGTTTTGACTACAAATTTTCGCCCAATCGCTCAGCCCTAGACGATGATTTCCGGCTAATTGCTTCAGGCCTCAAGGGGTTCAATCGGCCGCGCCGCTGCTGGGACGATGGGTGCGATGCTGCCAGCATCGGCGGCGCATACCGACAGCGAATGGAGGCGCCTGTTTTGGACGAGTTTCACTTACCCATGAGAATATTCCGGCATGCTGATGCGGGCTGGGGTCGAGATGGACGCCGCTTCGCTGAGGACGCCGATTACTACCATGGTCGCGGCGCCTGGTCGGACCTCCAAACCCTGGGTGGATTCAAGCCACGAGAACTTCATCGGCTAGAAGGAGGTCTTGCAGCGTCCTGGGCGTTTGACGGGCGACGCACCGCTGCGGGATGGCCTGATGTCCTTGGGCGCCTCCGGCGAAGGACCGACGCCAGATTAGCAGAGGTGCAGAAACAAAAATGTAGAGGAGAAGGGTATAGCGATGAGCAGAGGCGTATGACACGAGATGTGGATTTTTTTCACAATTTTGGGCCTCAGGATGGCAGGCCCAATTCCATTTATTGGGACCAAGGAATGAATGGAATTTCTCCTTCTTTTTGGGCCTGTGAGGTGGCTACGAATTTTGGGCTTGTGCAGAGGGATTTTGGCCGCCAATTTGGTCAATGGGAGAGCTCGTTTTGCGCTGATATTCTTGACTTCGACGAGGATCATGTTGACGGGCCAATTTACGACGGTCCGCCCATTTTTGATGAGGAGGCTCCGACGATGAAAACATATTTTCACAGTAATAAGGGTCCCACATGGGATGTTGCAACGATTACGTCTTCGAATTGGAAGCCGTCATTCACACCCGATTTATGGCGTATCTTGGCCAACGATGGTTTTTGGGAGCCGACGACGAGGTTAAATAACTTGTCGTCCGTTTTCCAATTGTGTATCGCGAGATCTCCCATCAACGGGGTGGTTGGCCATAATTTTGGATTTGGACGCGACGAACGTGGTGTTATGTTTGCTGCTCTTTCGGAAGTGTGGGTTATGCGTCTGGCGTCATGTGCATGTGCTTTTGCAACACTTCAGCCATTGCCCAAGCTTATGTTTACCTTCGGTGTTGTTGGGCGTTCTTCAAGTTTCGTGTTCGATCGAGGACGATGCGGGAAACACTTCTCCAACGGGAACGGGTCGGATTCGAGGGCTAATCCTGCTCAACCGTGGGAGAATGATGCAGAATAAATATCATTATTATTATTATTATTATTATTATTATTATTATTATTATTATTATTATTATTTAATCATTATTAGTAGCTTAGAGAATAAGCTAGGTTTAGTTTGTGGGGTTTATTTAAAGAATTCTTAGGCTGTGTGAGGAGGGGAGTGGAATTTGAGAATGAAAAATTAATTGTTTTCTTTCGGGAGAGTATCCCAAGTTCGAGAGAGTATCTCATTCTTTGAGTATCGAGAGAGTATCTCGCATATCTCGTCCCACTCGTACGCTTCCCTACATCATCTACTCACCCACATCCTTCAGCCCAACAGCATTGTTCAACTACACCAAGCATATACATTTTATTAAGCATCTTGGAAGAATTTTTCCATTGCCTGATTTCTATTTATTTATTTATTTATTTTTTTATTTATTTTTTTAGAACGATATAAATCACATATATTCAAATTATCAAAATATCATCTAGTTTAGGTTGCAATTCCAAGTTACTCGGGAACATATAGTTGGCCCAAATCTAACCGAGTCTGGCAAAACTGACCCAAGGAATACATTATTCACATTATGTCGATCTATCCAACAAAATAAACCCAATCCATTAGTAGAAGCTTGCTGTCGATCTCTCTACAACATATGAACAGTCTCTGACAAAGAAATTGGTAAAGCGACCGTCCAACCAGTCTCATCATAAAAAATTGAAATGCATGTCCCATCTTCAAAAGTCGAATTTTTGAATGTCAACAGGTGTCACCAACCTACCTCCTAAGATGACACGTTATCATAATTGTATTTCACTGTTCTCGTGTGTATTGTGGCGTTGAGTACCTTAGAGTCTTAGACAACACACACAATTCATCACACCAAAAAAAACTACAATCATAATAGAGATTTCTCTTTACCAATCCACCAAGCAATCGGTTAATCGTGCGTGCTCCGTTATTTACCACACCATCAATTTAATCTTGTGTTTTCTATTTGGCGATCAACCATCAATATATAGTTAATATTTTGTTAATTATATAATAATTAATTATAAACAATTTTATTTTTTCTACATTTAAAATAGGTTAAATCGAGTCTTGATTGAGTAAAACCTAATTTTTAAGAGTTCATGTAACCCGTTTAACCATCGAGGTAAAACCAGACCCGAACCAAAAGGTTAAACATGTAACTGATTGGATTCGAGTAAGGCAAAATATATGCAGGTGGGGTTTGAATTTGCCAAAACCTGCACTCTACTCGACCGATTTATATATATAATATATCTATATAAGGTTGGGTTCAAGTGAGATTGGTCCTAAATGAAAGAAATAAGAATACGTCGTGGCCATCGGATCATATAATCCGACAGCAAAAGACAAACATTTTTACAATGATTAGGGGCATTATAATCATTACTCACAATCCTCATCCACCATCACCTATCAACAAGCACAACACAACCCAACACCATATCCTTTATTCACACACCAACACCAACATGCACAGTACATCAAACTCTCACCATATCCATACCAACACACACCAACACGCTCAACACACACTTCGCACAATTGCCACCACCCCACCTCCACCATGTTCACCAGTGTCGCCGCCGCATCGCGACGACCGCGCCCACTCCCCCCCATCAGAGTCCTCGCCAACATCGCCCCCACCGCCTCCAGCCACCCGATTTCCCTCATCTACACAAGTAAAAATAATTATGTCTCTACCAAAAAGATCTTATTTATCTATATTAATGCTTAAAGTAAGTTATCATATCCTTCACACTTCCATTCTCATTTTTATGCACTTGATTAAGATAGAGAAATAAAAATAAATAACTGACTCATTTAATTTCTTAATTCGCACACGTTTTTAATAGAGAGAAATAAAAAATATTTTATAATTCACACAACTATCAGGTGATTTATATTGTGTTTATGTTAGTATATATTCAATATATGTTGCAATGAAAAACATGTCTTCCATAATTTTTTTTTTTTTTTTTTTTTTTTTT